TCTTGTAAAATAAGTATATTTTACTCTAACACATTTGTGCTCTCTAAAACTTTTGACTTTGTTGCCTTAATTTATTTATTTTTATAGAACCAGCAATGCATTTTTTCCTCTTCACTCCAAAACAAAGTTTTCTTGATTGTATAGAACAGCGGCCCCCAACCTTTGAGTCAGTAGGGACCGGTTCTGTGGAGATAGGTTTTTCTGCGGACCAGTGGGTGCGTGGTTTTGCATACTGCCTGCATCCCACGGATGAGGCTTTGCTTGTTTGGATGGGTTGGTGGCTGGCATGTCCATGGATCGAGAGTTGGGAACCTCTGATTTGGAATATATTAGGCTGCATTTGTTTTACTGATAAAGAGTAACACAACGTATTGCATAATATTGTATTTAGAGTCTAATATTAACTCCAAGTATAAACTTTCATTAGTTGCATTAAGTGTTAAACCAAATGGCAGATATATATCTTGTGTGTTTTGTCAATATAAGTATTTATGAGCTGCAATAGACATGGCACAAGGTCAGCCAATGGGGACTGTTTGGATAGACACGATAGACACAGGTCAGCTAGTGGAGATTTTTTGGAAACTGAAACATAGTATTTGTTTGTATGGGGTCATAAGACACAGTTTGGAGTCTGGGCATGGCTTAGACTTGCTGAACTGTATATAAAGTTGGTTTGGCCTCTGTAATGGGAGCCTCTGTACAATATATTAGCCTCTGTATCTCTCTACTCTGTAATGACTTGCTTCTATGAATATTGCTTCTGTATTCCTGATATTGTATGCTGAATTCTCCTGTATAGTATTGTATATAAAGAAGTTTCTTATGTAATTTGAATCCTGCTGAAGTTCATTTAATTGTGTCTGATTGTGTGTGCTGCAAGAAACTCTGACATGTTTTGAATTTTAGAAGGATGATAGTGGGTGATTAAATAGAAGTGTCTTCTGTGACCATGATGTTATATCTTAAATGCACATAAAACCTGAAAATTCAGAAACAGTCTGGGATTGGTAAAGTAATGCCATAAAAACCATTATATAGATTATTAGGGTTTAGAGAAAGCACTTCAACGGAATTCAATTATTTTTCCCCCAAAATTTTATAACAGTGTCCAAATTTTATTGCTGAACAACGCTTTCAACCTTTAATAGTCATGGTGTTCTTAGATTCACACATTTTTATTTGTAGTTAATTCCCTTCCTGATGTTAACTTCTATTCACATGATCATGAATGATAATTAAATATATTCATTAATACCTGTTTAATACATTAAATTAAATATAGCATTATGCATGGTATGATGAAAATCCTCTGCCTCTCTGACATGTATTCAAAACCAGAATTAATGATACTGTATGGAATGAGAATTTGAAATATTAAAGAAACCATTTGAGTTGAATGCCTTCAAACAATGATTAGAAAATTTATGGGATTATAATTGCTAAAAAATAATTATGTTTCCATAGAATGTTTGGGTTCACAGCATTATATCACTGGAAAACTATTGTTAGGAGTTGAAAAAATGACAATAGAAGGATGCTGCTAGAGAGATATATTAATGGGTTTCTGTAAGCCTCTGGTTGTCTGCTTTTAGATAATGAATATTAAATCAAATTGACCTTAATCAAACAGAGATTCATGCCAAAAGTCTTTACTATGTCCTTGACAAAGGAATTTCCGAAGTTCTTGGGCTTTCACACAATCAAACACTTTTTGCTTTTCATCATTCTCCCCTCTCCCATTTTTATCATCTAACACATTAATTACCATTCTCAAATGTTACAGCATCAAGAAAGGAATATAGGTTCTTGTCATATTTGAAGTATTAGTGGCATGCTAGATATACTATTTAGAGAGGGGGAAAAAGAGTTGCTCAAGAATCACACTGCCTTTGATTTTTATCTTGGGTATAAATTTGCAAAAATCAGATACTGAATTTATTAAAAATTATCCCCAAATGAATGATTATATTCAACCCAACACTTAATGTTCTCACAAATGTTCTCCTTCTAAAAAGAGGGAGACATGGAAATATATAGGAGATAAAAAGTAGGTGAGTGATGCACCTCTCAATTTTATAGGTTTTATGGTAATGAATCTTAAAAGAAAATGCAAATAAGACTTTCTAACAAGAAAACTGAATGCATGGAAACACTAAATGAAAACATACATTTAAAATCTGATGCAGAAAGGGATATAGATACAGCTTTGCAATACACAAACTCTTAGTTTTTAAAAGCAGACAAGGACTAAAAATGAACTCAACATTGTACTCTGTTGATGTTTTTTTTTCCAGATCGGGTAGCCTGAAGATTAGGAGTGATGGAAATATTTTGCATGCTCACCAATTTTGTTTGCCATAGGAAAGTAACAAGTAGAATGAGAAAAAAAAAAAATAGCATGCCACTTCTCTAGATAAATGTAGCTGTCAGTGCTGCTGGCTGTCCCATCATAGATTCCATGAAGAGAGGGAAATGAAGAGTTATTTGCTTGCCTCTCACATAGAACAGAATAGAATATCATATTTTTCAGAGTATAAGATGCACCTTTTTCCCCCAAAAAAGAGGGTGAAAATTTGGGTGTGTCTTATACTCCAAATGTAGCCCCGCCCAGCTTCTCAAACAGAGGTTTCAGAGGCTGAAAAAAGCATCAGAAAAGAAGCTTCAGAAAAGAAGCCCCCAAACAGGCTTTTTTTCTGAAGCTCTGTTTTGGAGGCTTTCAGAGGCAGGAAAAAAAGTTTTTTCTGAAACTGTTTTACAGTGGTTCTCCTCCTACCTCTCTGGTCGCTTGCAGTCTGTTTGGGCGGGGGGTCAGGGATCCTCCCCAGAGGCCCCTTACTTGTGGGGTACATCAGGGATTGGTTCTCTCCCCTCTGCTCTTTAACATCTACATGAAACCGCTGGGTGAGATCATTCGTGGTTTTGGGGTGAGGTATCATCAATATGCTGATGATACCCAGCTTTACATCTCCACTCCTGACCACCCTAGGGATGCCCTTTCCGTGATGTCCCACTGCCTGGAAGCGGTGCGGGTTTGGATGGGGAGGAACAGACTCAGACTCAGACTCAACCCTTTCAAGACTGAGTGGCTGTGGATGCTGGCATCCCGGGATCTGGAGGTTCCATCTTTAGTGATCGGGGGAGAGACCCTTACTCCCTCCGATAGGGTTCACAACTTGGGTGTCCTCCTGGATTCTCGGCTGTCTTTGGATGACCATCTGACGGCCGTAACCAGGGGGGCCTTTGCACGTCTTGTGCACCAGTTGCGCCCTTTTCTAGACTGGGATGCCATCACCACGGTCACTCACTCCCTCATTACCTCTAGGTTGGACTACTGTAACACCCTCTACATGTGGCTGTCCTTGGGATGTGTCCAGAGGCTCCAGCTAGTACAGAATGCAGCCGCACGGGTAATTATGGGGGCTTCTCGATACTCCCATGTAACACCTTTCCTGCGTGAGCTGCACTGTCTGCCGGTGGCGTTCCGGATTCGTTTCAAGGTGCTGGTGCTTACCTATAAAGCCCTTCATGGCTTAGGCCTGGGGTACTTGCAGGACCATCTCCTGCCGCTCCCCCATCGTCCCGTGTGCTCTCACAGAGTGGGCCTCCTCAGGGTGCCGTCGACCAAACAATGTCAGCTGACGGCCCCCAGGAGGAGAACATTCTCTGTGGGAGCCCCGACCCTATGGAATGGATTGCCCACCGAGCTCAGGACAGCCCCCGATCTCCTTTCCTTCCATCGCGAACTGAAGACATGACTCTTCCGTCAACTCAACTGATCCATTTGGGTGTACACTGTTATAATTTTAAACTGTTTTAATTGGGCTGTTGATTTTAAATTTATTTTATTGTGATTTGTATTGGAAATTGTCATTTTGTAAGCCGCCTTGAGTCCCTCGGGAGAAAGGCGGCATATAAATCACAATAATAAATAAATAAATAAATAAATAAATAAATAAATAAATAAATAAAATGGAGTTGCTAAAATTCACCTCTGGGAACAGCTGATTGGGGGTATTCCGGGAGGCCGATCCACCTGTCAATCAGCTTTTTTCTTATTTTCCTCCCCAAAAACTAAGGTACGTCATATACTCCAGTGCGTCTTATACTACAAAAAATACAGTACTTTATTTAGTCAAGTGTGATTAGAGACACACAAAGAATTTGTCTCCGGTGCACATACAAGTACATCAGGTTACAAGTACAAAAAACTGGATTTGTGTTGTGATGCTGCCACAAACATTTGCCTTTTTTTTTTCATTGTTGAAGTTTCTAACAAATACCTACTTTGGTGTCATATGTAAACTGAAAGCTCTAATCTCTACTTTAGAGAGAAACAGATATTTTACCTTGGAACTTAGCCAAACCTTTTAATATGCCTGTGTGTACAACGTGAATAAATACACAGAACATCTCTTCAGTGAATTTGCCTTTTGGTCTCCAAGAAAGCTTCAGTTGTTTTGTATCAGTATAGGGAATAGGAACTACAATAGAAGTTCAGTTCTTGCAACCTCTGGCAAATGTCCCGTATTATGCCTAGAAGCCTCTTTCATTGAGAAAATGTGCTTTAAAACAGAACTGAGCCAGAAGCTATGACATTTCATCGACTCCTCTGCTTGCTGCAAATAGCACATTTCATTGGAAATCATTTGTTGAGGGCAGAAAAGTTCTCAATCCACAGCTCTACTCAATACCCAACTGTAGCTCCAATCCTAGGAAAATATTTTTCATCCTCCAAAAAAGATCACTGCCATACTGTTTCTCTGTTTTTCAGAATAACACAGTACCGGGAAGGCAATTAGCTACAAGCCCAATATAGAAAACTTCAGCAGTGCTTAACACTGTAGCACTTTTCACAAGGTAAATCAGTTTATAGTGACAGTGGAGCATTCCTTTCTTCTCTCTCTTCCCCACATAATATTATCACTTAGAAATGTGAAATCTGGGATATTCTTCTGAACAAAGATACTTAATTGAAACCATAAATCACAGCTTCTTACCTGTGTACCAACTGTTTGCGGCTTACACAAGTGGCTGTCTCGTAGTCATGAGTGACACACACTTTGTGAGGGCTGCACTTTACCTTCAAACATGGGTCTTTAGATGGGTCAAGGGCTATTAAAAACAAGACACAAAGAAGTTGTTTAGAAGATTACCCCTTTTGTTCATTAGTCAAAATACTGAGTTAAAAATCAAAACCACTTCTCAGCTAATTTTGAAATGCTGTAAAAATATATAACCCATTTGACCTCACAATTCTGTGTGATGAAAGATATTCAGCTATTGTCAACTGGTCAAGGTCATCTAATGAACTTTTAAACTAATTAATTTTGACTTTTTTTTTTTAATTTGATTTATATGCCGCCCTTCTCCGGAGACTCAGGGCGGCTTACAATGCCTTAAGCAATAGCCTTCATACTTTTGTATATTTATACAAAGTCAGCTTATTGCCCCCACAAACTGGGTCCTCATTTCACCTACCTTAGAAAGGATGGAAGGCTGAGTCAACCTTTAAGCTAGCCCTATGCTTTATATTGTGCTTTCAAGTCAGATTTTACTCCTAGCAACCTCACAGACAATTCCCTGTGAGCTTTTTTGTGTGTGGCAAAAATGTTCAAAAGAGATGTACCACTGCCTTCTTCCTATGGCTGAGAGAAAGTGACTGGTCCAAAGTCACCCAGCTGGTTTCATGTTCATGGCTAGAAGGCTACAATTTAAGCCCCTTGGTTTCTAGCCTTTACTCATTACACCAAACTTGCTCTCAGTTGTGGATTTCAGTAACTGCAACATCCTAGCTCCTGTCCTCCAAATATTACTCTTGAGGAACAACTACATGTAACTATTGCCAACCCATATGAAACAATTATGATTCAATGGTTATCTAGATTGCAACTGACATGGACAAAGATGTATTAATTCTGGTGGATAGACAGACAATGAAATAACGTTACATTTTAAAAAATAAGGAGTTGGCCTGAAGAAAAATTCTCTAATTTTATCATCAACCTCAGCCAAAATTTCAGGGAGCATTTTATCAGTTCCACTGTTTAATTTTCTAGGCTTTTGCATCCTAGAATTGTTTTTAACTGATTTTAATAAAGAAGAATGCTACATGGAATATCTCAAGCCTTTCATGCATAAAATATTGGTCTGATTTTTCTCCCATATCTGTTGAAATAACAATTTTACATGCCAAAGTATTAAATAATTACTATTGTATAATAGAATATACAGCAATTCCTGAACCCTGTGTGAAGTTTAGCAATTTTGTGTTATTAAAATATATGCTTTTCCCTCTATTGAGCCAACAAAACTCTTAAATGAACCAAAACATAACATTTCACTTTCATTTAGTGCTAGAACAACACACAAATTCTAGTAAGAAGTGAACATACTATCCTTATTGCAAATACACTTAAAAATTACCTTCATTTGCAAATAATCTTTGAAACTTTTGTATATGTGTGTGTGTGTGTGTGTGTGTGTGTATATGTATGTATGTATGTATATATATATATATATATTCATGAATGATACTGCATTTATTGATAAAATACAATTAATTACTTTTGTGTTACAATACTATTTTATGGTACATGTAGCAGTACATTGTTATTGGGTTTGTGTAATTAATAGTGGACTCCAGAAGATGGTAGAGGACAGGAAGGCCTGGAGGAACATTGTCCATGGGGTTGCGATGGGTCGAATACGACTTCGCAGCTAACAACAACAATCAATAGTACAGCAATATTTACTGAAACTTTGGCCTACTGTTTTAATTTTAGAGAAAGAAAAATAGCCACCAATTTGGATATTTTCTAAAACATGGTAATTAAAATATTGTCACATTTCAGAGGTATCATTTGGGGCTACCAGCAACCTACTGATGTTTTGCTAATATTGTAATAGCAGGTTTAATATAAAATGGTTCATTTAGCTTATGCTACAAATTTAGGATATAGAGTACAAACACTAACAATAACAGAAGCATGTCAGCAGGAAAGAGGCTGAAATGAAAAGATACATTAGTATCTTCTTGAAATATGTATTTATTTTTTAAATGGGATAATGTCAAAGAATGGCAAAAGCAATAGACTTATACACCACTTCACAGTGCTTTACAGTTCTCTCTAAGCGGTTTACAGAGTCAGTATTTTTTTTATTTTTTTTTATTTTGATTTATATGCCGCCCTTCTCCGGAGACTCAGGGCGGCTTACAATGCGTTAAGCAATAGCCTTCATCCTTTTGTATATTTATACAAAGTCAGCTTATTGCCCCCACAAACTGGGTCCTCATTTAACCTACCTTAGAAAGGATGGAAGGCTGAGTCAACCTTGAGCCTTGGAGAGATTCGAACCAGCAGTAAATTGCAGGCAGCTGTGTTAATAACAGGGTGCTTTAAACCACTGTAGTACCAAGGCTCTTAGCCCAGGAAAAGATGCAATTGCTTTAAGAAGTTATACTTTGGTGCCATGAATGTCTCTATGCACTCCAAAGCAACTTTTGTTCTTCTGATCCAAATATTGTACAGATCAACTGACATCAGGGATTATCTGGAAGACTTGGACATACAGAGGTTCAATTTTCAGCCATTGGTGGAGCATGTACCGATGTCAGCCAGCAGGTAGCACTATTTTCCTCATGAGGAGTTAAATGGATTCCAGTAGGATGAACTAATAAAAAGGATAACCTGGTGGTCATCCAAATTGCAATGCAAACAGCTAATCCAGATTGGATAGATTAAACTGTACCATTTTATATACATCAAAATAATCAGGTCTTTCAAATCAGGAATTACACATAGCTTAATAGCTGCTGGATCAACATAGTAACGAAGGTCCTAAAATCTGCAATACACTAATGTTCAAATTATTTAGACTAAATTCCTGTTTACTAATATTGGAAGTTAACTCGGAGGTCTAATAAACAAGAATAAACAAGGGAACTTTAATTTATGTATTTAATCATAAATAATTCCTATACTAATTCCATGCCCCTTAGCAGCAGCAAAAGCAGCATTTAGAGGGTAAGCTGCTCTCGTGTGCAGTATAATACCACTGAAATGGTAAGATGAAATTTCTTAAAAATCAGCTAGCTCAACTTGCTGTATTTCAGATGTGTTAGTTTTCTTTGTTTGGAATTCTGGGAGTTGTAGTCCCAACACATATGGAAGATAACAGATTGGGGAAATTTGAGTTAACATAATTGAACTACAGATTCATTTAATCCATTAGTCTACAACTGGGAATCACTATTAAGTTATACACATTGCCAAGTCTGGCAGTTTTATACTTTAAAACATTTGCATTATTTAAGCAGGGTTGCATTCAATTCCAGTTTTCAAATCATCTGCAAGTTTTTAATATATGCATTTTTCACTATTATACATGGCAAAACATGGGGAGTTGTTAAAATTGATGCATTACTGTATTCTGATCTGTATATTAGTGTAGGAAGTAATAATAAAAATGCATTCAAATATTGTTAGTTCTTCTATGCTTGTAAAACTACATTCTGAATGAAGATACCTACAAAAACCTGAGAGCCTGGTAGTACAGTGAACTAAAGCACTGTTATTAACATCTGCTGCTTGCAATTACTGCAAGTTCAAATCTCACCATGCTCAAGGTTGACTCAGCCTTCCATCCTTTCAAAGGTAAGTAAAATGAGGACCCAGATTGTGGGGGCAATAAACTGACTTTGTATAAATATACAAAAGTATGAAGGCTATTGCTTAACACATTGTAAGCTGCCCTGAGTCTCCAGAGAAGGGCGGCATATAAATTAAAGCAAAAAAAAAAAAAAAAAGAAAGAAAAAAGAAAAGAAAGAAAGAAAAAAAAAGAGGAAGGAAGGCCAGGGAAGACAATCTCAGAAGCCTTTCTCAGCTGGACTCTTCACTCTATCCCTGTTATGTCTACTGATAAGAATTTGGCAGCAATTCATTGACGCTGGTTTAAACAGATTCTAGGATCATACTTGAGTTAAGGATGGCGGGATCCTTAGTGCTCTCTGAACTTGGTTATCATCTTGCAGACATTTCATTATCAAACTAGGTAACATCATTATCAAACTAGGAACAACATCTGACGGCTGTAGTTAGGGGACCTTTGCACAGGTTCGTCTGGTGAACCAATTGCGACCCTACTTGGATCAAGATGCTCTCCTCACAGTCACTCATGCCCTTGTCACCTCAAGGTTGGATTATTACAACACGCTCTACATGGGATTACCCTTGAAAAGTGTTCGGAGACTACAGTTGGTCCAGAATGCAGCCATGCAAGCTATTGTGGTACACCTAGATACACCCACATTACACCAATTCTCCACGAGCTGCACTGGCTCCCTATCGGTCTCTGGGCGCAATTCAAGGTGTTGGTTATTACCTTTAAAGCCCTACATGGCTCAGGGCCAGGCTATCTTCGAGACCGCCTTCTACCGCATAGGTCCCAGTGACCGGTAAGATCCCAAAGAGTCGGTCTTCTCTGGGTCCCATCAGCTAAACAATGTCAGCTGGCGGGCCCGCGGGGGATGGCCTTCTCTGTGGCTGCTCTGGCTCTCTGGAACCAATTACCCCCTGAAGTCCGGACTGTCCCCACCCTACTGGCCTTCCGGAAAGCGGTGAAGACCTGGCTCTTCCTGCAGGCCTGGGGCCGTTGATCTCGCTACGGTGATCTTGCCGGCCACGAACTGGAGTGTATGGGTTTTAATGTTTTCTTTTAAACTTTTGTATGGGATATTGTTCAGATTGTTTTATTCTCTGTTGTAAGCCCAGAGTCCCTCGGGAGTTGGGCGGCATAAAAATACGACAAATAAATAAATAAATAAATAAATAAATAAACATCATTAGTACACTAATGATGGTACCTAGTTTGGTAATGAAACATCTGCAAGAAAACAACCAAGCTCGGAGAGTACGAGGGACCCCACAGTTCAACTCTGAGCTACAAATATTCTCTTCTATCAGTGAGTTAAGGATCTCAAGACATGCAACACAGCACAGGAAAATAACAAATTTCACTCTATGCTAGGATGAAGCCACTTCAGGCAGTTATTGGTCAGCATGAAAATGCAGCCGCTTTTTATACCCACTGCAGTTTATTTCTGGCATTTTTT